CCATTTATTTTACAGACTAAATATTTATATTTTCAGATTTTTTAATATTCCAGCATGTACAGATTTTGAATGTATTGTATTGACAGGTATATTTTTTTATGAAGAGCTAAAATATTTTAAGTTGAAATGTATTTATTTTGGAATGATATCCTGTATTTTGGTTCATATTAATGGTTAAAAAACATAAATATTTAGTCTGTTAAATAAATGGTTATACTGTTCGGCCCGCGAGTTTTGAGTTTTGGCCCCCTGTGCAATTGAGTTTGACACCCCTGGTCTAGACAATACTTAGTCCTGCCTACAGCGCAGGGGACTGGACTAGATGACCTCTCGAGGTCCTTTCCAGTTCTATGATTCTGTGATTCTATGGGTTTACTCTTGGTGGCAGGAAGGGGGCAGGATATTGGGCTAGATAGGCCCGTGGGCCTGATCCAGGGCAAAATGGATGGAGCAAGATACCGGGTTAGATGGCCCCAAGATCTGTTCCAGGGCGGTAGCATTTCCTGCTTTCTTTCCCCAACAGCCGCAGTGTAAAGTAGGCAGCACCAGACGCTGGGGCTGATGCTGTCCATGAGACACCCCAGAAAATGACCCTCCATCAGTAGTTAAACATAAGCAAATCCACCACTCAGCGTGGCCACAAGGGGGCCCCAGCAGTTGTTACGGCAAGGCCAGTCACGCCGAGCGTGGCCCAAGCTCCCGCTCCTCTCGCTGGTTATAAAAGCCACCACACGGACTCTGTCCACATGGCACCAGCCTCTAGTGGCTCCATTGAGGAATTGCAATGACTCATTATTATATTGCGCACCGTAGAGTAGACATGTGAAACTATAACTCCTCTTCGTAGTTAATGCTGGTATTAAATTAATGGTGATATCCCATCTCCTAGAACGGGAAGGGACCCTGAAAGGTCATTGAGTCCAGCCCCCTGCCTTCACTAGCAGGACCAAATACTGATTTTTGCCCCAGATCCCTAAGTGGCCCCCTCAAGGATTGAATTCACAATCCTGGGTTTATCAGGCCAATGCTCAAACCACTGAGCTGTCCCTCCCCCAACAGCTAAGAAATAGGGTGGGGAGGGAATTGATGCAAATTAGGTAATCTTTAGTCAAACATGCAAATGAGGCATCATGTTATTTGTGTAATGCCTCCTACAGCCCAGACTTTTCGTAGGTGTGCAGTAAAATATGGTTGATGTCGTGGGTGGTTGGTGGATGTCACTAATTCTGGATCTCTCTGTGTCTGTTCCTCTAGGGGTTTCAGAGGCCGACGGCCCCTCCTGGGTGGGGGAACCCATCGCATCAGCCATGCCCAGATTTGGTGCCTTCATCCCCCTCCTCCTCTTCCTCCTCTTCATCTTCCCTGGGGCCACCTCCAATTGTCACACAAGCACGGAAAATGAATGCAAGAAGCTCACGGCCTTCGTGCCCGGGCACAGCCTGATTGGTGAGGGCATTGATGTGACCACGATGGGCAGGAAGGGGGCCTATCTGGTTGACAGCAGCCTCTGGCAGCACGAGGATGGCACCTGCACCTTGTGCCAGAACCGACTTCAGGGAGGGCAGTGGCAGAGGCTGCCGCTGGCTGTGGTGGACTGGCGGGTCCACGTCTCGTGCCGCCGGAAGCTGAGCAGCTCGGTGCAGCAGTCGGCGATGGGCATGATGGAGTCGGCAGCGTCCGCGGTGCAGAACGACTGGAAGGTGGGGCTGGACGTGCCTGTGAAGCCCAAGGTTAATGTCCAGGTGGCGCTGGCCGGCTCACGCTCCAAACTGGCCAGTTTCGTGGTAGACCACACGCGGATGGACAAATACAGCTTCATGAGCCAGAAGGTGTCCTGCAGCTATTACAGGTGAGAGCCAGCCTGGGTCAGGAGGACTCACCTGAAATTGGGATTACAGCAACAGCACACAGTGACACAGGGCCTTTCCCCTCTACGGAGCGCCAGCTCTGATCCAGGCCTAGGGTGGGAGAATGGCTTGCTCGGGGGGGCAGGGAATAGGACACAGAACCTTTCCTCTCTAGGGAACACTGGCTTCAATCCGGCCCCAGGATGGGGAACTGTTTCAGGATAATGGGGAATGGGGCACAGGACCTTTCCCCTCCAGGGGGCATCATCTCCAATCTGGTCCCAGGGCAGGGGATTGGCTGGCTAGGAAGGCAGGAAATGCTACAAGGGGTGTTTCCCCTCTAGGGGGCGCCGGCTCCTATGTGGGATTGGACAGCTATCTGGGATTTTCTTCTCATGTGTGTCAGGACAGCCGGCGACCTGCCATGGCCAGAGTGGGGGACGTCTGTCAGAACTATCAAGCAGCTGTCAATATCCCCAGCACAGTCGTGAGGTTCGGCAGACAGGGTGGTTGCATTGACTAGGAGCCACCTGCTTAGACCTTTGCTTGTGGGTTGTCTGGGGCCTTAGGACACAGAGCTAATGATCTCAGCTGACTCACCGAGCTGAACACACTCCTTACCTTGTGTCCCTGACCAGGTTCCGGGTCAGCGAGATGCCCCCGCTCACCAGTCATTTCACTCTGGCACTGGAGAACCTCCCGGACCAGTACGACAGCAAATCGAAGGTGGAGTACCAGCAGCTAATCAGCAACTACGGCACCCACTACATGTCCCAGCTGCAGCTGGGGGGCCGGGCGCGGGACGTGACGGCCGTGCGGGTCTGCGAAGCGGCAATGAGCAGCTTGACCGACGACGAGATCAAGGACTGCTTGAGCATGGAGGCGGCCGTGAGTATCGGAATGGGCTCGGTCAAAGGTGGGTACAGCAAGTGCGAGGAGGAGAAGAAGAAGGGGAAGGTCCAGGGGAGCTTCCATGAGACGTATCAGGAGCGCCACGTGGAGGTGGAGGGAGGAGAGAGCACGACTGACGTGCTCTTCTCCGGCAGTGATGCCAAGGTCTTCTCGGCCTGGATTGAGAGCCTGAAAGCCAGCCCTGGCCTGGTGTCCTATTCGCTGCACCCCATCCACATCCTGGTGGAGCAGGACGACCCCAAGCGGGAGGCGCTGAGGCGGGCAGTCAGTGAGTACATCCGTGAGAGGGCCCTGTGGAGGAATTGCACCCGAAGCTGCCCTCCGGGGACTCAACGCAGCGCCCACGACCCCTGCTTCTGTGTCTGCCCCGGGGATACCATGACCAACGCCATGTGCTGCTCGCGGGAACGTGGCCTGGGGAAGCTGATGGTCACAGTGAAGAAGGCCACTGGCCTGTGGGGGGATTACTTTAGCGCTACAGATGCCTTTGTCAAGGTTTTATTTGAGAGAAGGGAGAGCCAGACCAACACCATCCAGGACAATAACAATCCCGTCTGGAATGTCCAGTTGGACTTCGGTACCGTCCACCTCACCAGCACCAGCAAGATCCATGTCCAGGTCTGGGACAAAGACCCGTTGAATGTTGAAAAGCTGGGAAGCTGCGACATCCCGCTGGAGGCTGGGGGGCCTCACCAGAAGGATTGCTACCTTAAACATGGCCGCATCTGGTTCCAGTACAGCCTGCGCTGTGGGCCCCACCTCGGGGGCCGAAGCTGCTTCAACTATGTCTCCCAGCCACCCCAGCAGAGCGCAGCTAAGGGGAAAGAGGCGGAGACCTTTTGGTGAGCCCCTTAGATAGGGACTCACAAAGGGGCATGGGTGTGCATTGGTCACTAGCGCTCCCTGTCCCCAGAGCATTTCCTAGTTCCCACTCTGCTGACGCTGCTGAGCTTCATACTGTCACTCCTGCTCGGGAATCGGTGTCTCCTAAGCCACTAGAGACTGTCTGCTCCTGTGAGCCCATCATCCTCACAGCTCCCTCTGGGAAAACATCCCACCACAAACCGTCCATTCCAGATCCATCAGACCAGCGTGTCCCATGATTCTGGTCATGCAGTGTATCCATCCAACCAATAAACCAAGGTATGTACCTACTGCATCCAACCTATCCGCTCCACCCCATCCAGCCAAGCGTCAGCCAACCAACCAACCAACCAACCAACCAACCAACCAACCAACCAATTGTTGCATTTATTTTATCCAACATATTCAGCCAGCAAACCACCAGCCAATGAGTGTATCCAGCTGACTCACCGAGCTGAACACACTCCTCACCTTGTGTCCCTGACCAGGTTCCGGGTCAGCCAGACGCCCCCGCTCACCAGCCATTTCACTCTGGCGCTGGAGAACCTCCCGGACCAGTACAACAGCAAATCGAAGGTGGAGTACCAGCAGCTAATCAGCTGGTATTGTCCGCATCACCAGCACCAGCAAGATCCGTGTCCAGGTCTGGGACGAGGACAAGTGGGACGATGACCTGCTGGGAAGCTGCGACATCCCGCTGGAGGCTGGGGGGCCCCACCAGAAGGATTGCTACCTGAACCACGGCCGCGTCTGGTTCCAGTACAGCCTGCGCTGTGGGCCCCACCTCGGGGGCCGGAGCTGCTTCAACTATGTCTCCCAGCCACCCCAGCTGGGAACAGCCAAGGGGAAGGAGGTGGAGGCCTTCTGGTGAGCCCCTGATTGGCGAGGGGTATGGATGTGCACTGGTCACTAGCGCTCCCTGTCCCCCAGAGCATTTCCTAGTTCCCGCTCTGCTGACACTACTGAGCTTCATGCTGTCACTCCTGCTCGGGAATCGGTGTCTCCGATGCCCATAAGAGACTCTCTGCTCCTGTAGCCCGATATCCTCACAGCTCCCTCTGGGAAAACATCCCACCATGAACCGCCCGTTCCGGATCCATCAGACCAGTGTGTCCAATGATTCCCGCCTCCAATGTATCCATCTAATCGACAAACTAATGTATGTACCTACTGCATACCTAATCTCAACCTATTTACCATTGTGGATTGCATATGCAGGGGAGGTTGCATTGGGGATTGCATGTGCAGCTCTCTATGTGTTATTTTGGCCACATCCACACTGCATATGTACTATCTGTACGACCCTCACGATGGGCTGCAGCTGTGGGCTGATTGGTGCACAAGTGGCCCACGGGCCACAGGTTGAGAACTACTGATCTTGTGCAACCAAGGTAACTAACCACCCAACCAACTAAGGTCTTAAGTACATCCAGCCAACCAACCAAGCTGTGTAGCCAGTGCAAGCAACCAACCAATGAATGTCCTAAGTACACCCAACCAACCAGTCAACCAATTTGTGCAGGCAGGGCAACCAATCCACAGCCCCATATATCCAGCCATCACTGTATTTATCTGTCTCGTGTATCCACTTGAAAACTGATTTTTTTCTACAGGAAGGGATAAGATGCAAATCTGAGCCTTGTCCTATTGTGGCTTCAGTGATTAACCCTCTGTAGAAACCCTAAGATACTCCAGGGTGGACATGGTTCGAAGCACCCAGCAGATGGGCCGGGGTCCCGGGGGGAGGATTCATTAGGGGGCTGTTCCCTAAGTGTTGTTTCTGTTGCTTTTCACAATTACCCAGCTGCTTTGGGGATACTTCTATTATCATGAATACACAGGCTCCATCCACCAACCTGCTGGATGTTCTCTGCTCAGATGGTTAACAAAGATGATGACATATCACTCCTTCTCACTAGGCTTCAGAGTTAACGCACAGGAGAACATGCCACAGAGCTATCGATTCCGGCTGTCAGCAGGCTCAGGAAGATGGCACTGCACTGGGATCACATTTGGGAAAGGCTAATTTTCCCTAATTTGGGGATTAAAGCTTCTTCTTCTCTCACTGCTACTTGCATCTGTTGAGAGCCTAGATCAATAGCTCGGTGGTGCACCTCACTGATGGAGTGGGTGTGGTTAACTCTGAACCCTACTGACTGCAACTGAAATATCTTTGAGCAGGGGGTTGGACTAGATGACCCCCTGAGATCCCTTCCAACCTTGATATTCTATGATTCTATGATCTCCAGCCTGGAAAACTGCCATGCAGCTTTGCAGTACCACTGCAAAATGATTTGTTTCTGAGAGGATTCCAGGTCTCTGGATCTTTGCAAATGTATCTCCCTGCCTCAATAAACATGTGTGAAATAAAATTTCTAAGCAGGAAGTCCTGTCATTCTTCTAACCTCAGTGGGCTGGACCTAGATCTAGAGTAGAAATGAGCGGCTGCAATACATGCTTGGAAACGCTAGGGGGAGCTCTGGGCTGGAGGGGAGCGAGGCGTGACAAGACAGGGGAGCTAGACAGCTGGATGAGTTTGCTGCAATGGGGAATCCGGTGTAATGTGGCTAATGGCAGTGGCTTCTGTTGGGGACAGAGTGGGATGGGTGGGTGTGATGCTCTGTACCTCAGGGGAACACCCAGCACCTCTATGTTCATCTTTATAAAATAATTGTGTGGTATCCAATGCAAAGTTTGTCATGTTGGGTGTCTTTGGAAGGCTTATGATGCTCTGCGCATGGTTGCTATAGTGATGTTATAGTAATTGTTACAGTAATGTTATCGTAAGATTATAGGTTGTAATTTCATGTATATCGTTATGAGGCAGAAAATGTATCCTCATGGCTTAAAGCAAGCCCAGGCAAAAACTCTCCAAGAACAGAGAGGCAGTTCACACCTCATCAGGGCATGGATGGGAGAAACCCAGCCCAGACTCACAGGAACAAAGGACACTGGCCTAGGCAACAACAAAATAATTTGTTAGGGCATGGCTACACTTGCAGATGTAGGGCGCTGGGAGTTAAACCAGCCCTTGGAGACTTCAGCAGGGAAAGCGCTGCAGTATGTTCACACTGTCAGCTGCCAGCGCACTGGCATGGACACATTTGCGGCACTTGCAGCGGCATTGGGAGCGGTGCATTATGGGCAGCTATCCCACAGAGCACCTCTTCCCATTCTGGCGCTGTGGCTTTTGGGAAGGGGAGGAGGTGCAGGGTATTCTGGGTCCTGTCCCAAGGCCCCGTAATGCATCGCTTCGCATCCCAGCAATACCTGTGGTTCAGTCCACATTTGGCGCCATCCTTCAACGGTTTTTGTACTGCGCGCTCTGTCTTCCCTTTTGGTCTGCGGGAATGGAGCCCGAACTGCTGAGGAAGATGCTGATGGATCTCGCCAGCACGTCATGAATTGCAGTGAAGTTACCCCTTAAGCTACAAACTGACAGCGAGGAGTCCAAGGATGATGTCCACTCACAGAACGCATTCGACATGAGATTGCTTGTGTCATTCACAGACATGCTCACCACCGTGGAACTCCGCTTTTGGGGCTCAGGAAACAAGCACTGAGTGATGAGATCACATCGTCATGCAAGTCTGGGATGACGAGCAGTGGCTGCAGAACTTTCAGATGAGAAAAGCCACTTTCATGGGACTGTGTGATGACCTTGCCCCCACCCTGCGGAGCAAGGACACGAGATTGAGAGCTGCCCTTTCGGTGGAGAAGCAGGTGTCTATTGCAATCTGGAAGCTGGCAACTCCAGACAGCTACCGATCGGTCGCGAACCAGTTTGGAGTGGGAAAGTCGACCGTTGGACTCATGTTGATGCAAGTTTGCAGGGCCACTAATCGCATCCTGCTCAGAAAAACTGTGACTTTGGGGAACGTGCGTGACATTGTGGATGGCTTTGCACAAATGGGTTTCCGTAACTGTGGAGGGGAGATAGATGGCACGCCTATTCCCATTCTGGCACCAGACCACCTAGCCTCCGAGTACATTAATCAGAAGGGGCACTTCCGGATCACCGGGAGCATTTCACAGGCTGGCCCGGAAAGGTGCATGACGCACGCATCTTTCGAAACACAGGCCTGTTCAGGAAGCTGCAAGCCGGGACTTTCTTCCCAGACCAGAAGATCACCGTAGGGGAAGTCGAAATGCCCATTGTGATCCTTGGAGACACGGCTTACCCTTTAATGCCATGGCTCATGAAACCGTAAACAGGGAGGCTTGACAGCAGCAAGGAGTTGGTACAGAATCACTGTGGAGTGTGCTTTTGGTTGTATAAAGAGTCGCTGGCGCTGTGTGTATGGGAAGCTGGACCTGGCCAATGACAACATCCCTACGGTTATATCCGCGTGCTGTACCCTCCATAACATTTGTGAAGGGAAGGGTGAAAGATTCACTCAGACATGGACCTCAGAGGTTCAACACCTGGAGGCTGAATTTGAACAACCAGAGAGCAGGTCTATTAGAGGGGCCCAGCGCAGGGCTGCAAGGATTAGGGATGTGTTGAGGGAGCAATTTGAGGCTGAAAGCCACCACTAATGTTTGGTGCCCTGCATGGGAGTGAAGTGCAGTGGTTCCAATGTTAATAGGAATCTGTGTTTGCTACGTACGATGCACTGACCTACAGTGCCTGTTACTTTCATGGGCTACGGTATCTTTTACTTAATGCAATATTGGCTAGTGTCATTCGGTCGTGAGTAGCTGGGAGCAGCCAGAATGTGTGTGTGAACAGCCCAGGAGTGGGGGTTCTCACAGCAGAGCAGAGTAAGGCCGGCTCCCAGAGTCAAGGATTGGAGTGACCTAGCAGATCACCTGTCCAGATAACACCAGAGGGAAACACCACACCAGGAAAGAGATACAGGGAGATGGACAGTGTTATTAGGGGTTCTTAATATTCCCCAGCTGATATTTGCAAGACACTGCTATTGCCAAGGGATCCAGTAGGGGATAGGAGGAATTTTCCTTCTTAGGGGATACAGCTCTGATCTGGCCCTAAAGCAGGGGGATTGGCTGGCTCAGGGGACTGGGGAATGGGATATGGGGCCTTTTCCCTCTAGGGGGCGCTGGTTCTGATCTTGCCCATGACTCTGATCTGGCCCTAGAGCAGGAGGATTGGCTGGCTACGTGGGCTGGGAATTAGAGTAATAGTTCTCCTCTAATGGTGCAGCTCCGATTCCCTCCAGCAGGCGGCAGCCTTGACTCGTGCAGCCCCCAAACACTTGATCAGCTAAAATGCATCTTGCAGGTCAGTTCTGACAGAGCATGGAAGGTGTTTTCTGGGGGGTGGGTGGCTCAGCTCCTGACCTGCCCCTGGAATAAGGCTGGGATCCTGGTGCAGAGGCTGAGAGATGGGGAGCCTCCAGAGAGCAGGGGAGAATGTGGTTGTGATGCATGTGTGATGGGTTAGGTCACAGAGACCCCCTTGGGACTGGCACTTGATGTGCTGAGACTACCTGTGAGCCCGATTTTTCTACCAGCTTTGGACTTAAGAACCCTGTCTTGTTGAGCCAGATACGCTAATCTACTTCAGCACAGACCCAGGGTCTCAACCACGAGCCCCAAAACTGAAGACTTAAATGAAAATGGCTTAGCCAGTGCTCCTGTCTCTAGAACCGAGATGCCCAGCTCCCAATGGGATCCAAACCCCAAATACATCCGTTTTACTCTGTATAAAGCTTATACAGTGTAAACTCATAAATTGTCTGCCCTCTATAACACTGTTTGCTCCCCAGGTATTAATTACTTACTCTGGGTTAATTAATAAGCAAACGGTGACTTTATTAAGTATAAAAAGTAGGATTTAAGTGGTTCCAAGTAATAACAGACAGAACAAAGTAAATTACCAAGCAAAATAAAACAAAACACGCAAGTCTAAGCCTAATACATTAAGAAACAGATTACAGATAAAATCTCACCCCCAGAGATGTTCCAATAAGCTTCTTTCACAGACTGGACTTCTTCCTAGTCTGGGTTCAGCAATCACTCATACCCCCGCAGTTACTGTCCATTGTTCTGGTTTCTTTCAGGCATCTCTTGTGGGTGGAGAGGCCATCTCTTGAGCCAGCTGAAGAAAAAATGGAGGAATTTCTACGGCCTTTTATATTCTTCCTCTTATGGCCGGAAACCCCTTGTCCTCCTGTGAAAATCACAGCAACAAGACAGAGTTTGTAGCCACCTGGGCAAATCACATGTCCATGAATGATTCAGCCTTTTGCAGGCCGATGCCATTGGTTACATGTTTGTTTGAACGTTCCCAGGAAAGCTCAGATGTGGATTGGCATCTCCCAAAGTCCATTGTCAGTTAACTGTTTCTGGATTGGGCACTGTCAGGGTTCCCTCCCAACTCTGAACTCTGGGGTACAGATGTGGGGACCTGCATGAAAGACCCCCTAAGTTTATATTCCACCTGCTTAGGTTAAAAACTTCCCCAAGGCACAAATTCCTTTCCTTGTCCTTGGACAGTATTGCTGCCACCACCAACTGATTTAAACAAACATTCAGGGAGGGGCCACTTGGAGCCCTATCTCCCCCAAAATATCCCCCCAAACTCCTTCACCCCCTTTCCTGGGGGGTGGGGCTTGAGAATAATATAACAACCGATAGGTTAACAAGGTGAGCACAGACCAAATCCATGGTTTTTAGGACACTGAAAATCAATCAGGTTCTTAAAAGAAGAATTTTATTTTAAAAAAAGTAAAAGAATCACACCTGCAAAATCAGGATGGAAGATAACTTTACAGGGTAAATAAAAAGATTTAAAACACAAGGATTTCCCTTTAGGCTCGACTTCAAAGTTACAAAAACAGGAATAAAATTACCTCTTAACATAGGGAAAATCCACAAGCTAAAACAAAAGATAATCTAATGCATTTCCTTGCTATTACTTACAACTTCTGTAAATTTTAGATGTATCAGTTCAGGATCTTTTTAGGAGCTGGTTTACCTGCTTGGTCTCTCTCTTTGTCCCGAGAGGGAACAAAATAAAGAGCACAAACAAAACCTCCCCCCCCCCAATTTAAAAGTATCTTCTTTCCCCATTGGTCCTTCTGGTCTGGTGCCAACTAGGTTAATTGAACTGATTAACCCCTTAAAGGTAGGTGATTCTATACCTCTGGCCAGGAGGAATTTATGTTCCTGCATACATAAAGGTTGTTACCCTTCCCTTTATATTTATGACAGGCACTTACTTAGAATAGTCCTTTCTCAAGAAGCAGACCAAATGCTTCCCTGAGGCTACTTAGAATCAAACACATTGAGATACAAGCACATAGCCAATATTCATAACTTCAAATACAAAAATGATACACACATACAGACAGCATAATCATAACCAGCAAACTACATCCTTTCCATGGACACCTGACTTGACCTCCTCTGTACAAGACCTGGTCCAACCACAGGACCCTGGTTGCAACAATGATCTATAGGGTCACAGTTCATGCCAATAATATCACAGCATGGTGGACTGGAGAGGATCTTTCCATAGCCTCCTCCCGCCCCACCACACACCCAGTGGTTTCAGAGCAAGCCCCTGAAGAGTACATGGCCCTAGCTGGCACGCCCGCTTCCATCTCACTGTCCCCTGGCCCCAGCCCTTCCCCATTCCCCTGGGGCTAGGAGAGGCAGAGCATGAATCAGCTAGATGCTGCAGCACCCTGGCAGGGACAGCGGGATGGGCACAAGTGGGAGCCCCATGGCAGGTGGTGGAGCCGAGATGAAGGGGGGGATCAGGACACGGTGATGCCAATGAGTCACAGGGGCCAACACAGGTGTCTTGTAGTGTTGCTTTCCTCATAGAACCAAGGGCCGGTGGTGGTGGTGCGGCGGTGCAAAAATTCATCTCATCTTATTGAGTGGGTTCCCCCCCCCGCTAAGCCCACCAGCTTCCCTGCAGCATTTTGCCCCCTTTCCTTTTGCTGCCTGCCCCGCCCTCCCCTTGCTGCCATTTTGCTTCCCTCCCCGCTTCTGACTTGGCCCATTAGGAGTTTTTGGTTACTTTGCCTGCCCCTCCCCAGCCCCTGAGTGTTTGTTGGTTTCCCAGTCCCGCTCTCACCCCTGTGGTTGCTCTCGGTGCTTTACCCGCCCCCACCCAAGGCCTGTTTCCACTCCTGTTCCTTTTCCCCCTTACCTTCTGTTGCCGGCACAGAGGCCCGAGGACAGCAACAGCGGGGTTCGTTGCCCGGTGTGCTTCGCGCCAATAAACATACCGGGGTGGACAAGCAAACAAAGTTTATTTGAGATCTCAAAGTGGTGCAAGGAGACAGGCAAGTCTCAAATCAAGCACACTATCATAAGCAGTTTCTCTCTTCTTATACATTTTTGCAGCTAAGCCTCACCCCCCCCCTCCTCCCTCCCTTCCCTGGTAATAGTTACTAAGCAAATAGCAATTACATTTAAGCAGTTAAGTCATTCTTGGCAGCTATAAGTCTAGCTTGTTAGTAACTTCTTTAAACCGTTATCTTGTCCTTTTTTCCCTTTGAACTGTTATTTTCCCTTCAGCCAGAAACATGCAGGCCTCATTATTACCGCTTGATACCGGTGTGAGCAGGGGGTTGCACACAGATAACTGGTTGCTTACACATTCCAATTGCACCTGGCTTGTGAGGTCGATTAGCGTTTAAACATGGGAGAAGTTTGGTTCTTTTGGGCCTAGTGCAGGAAGGCTTCATTGACACTAGTGGCCTTCCACCCTCCCGAGTTACCTAGGGTTATGCCTAGTGACACCAGCACCAACACTTCCATTGCCCCCCACTCAGTCCCCTTTCTTTGTCCCCTCCCTAAGCGCTTGTGCCCCTTCCCCCTTTTACATTGTCCCACTCTGTTCACTGCACACACACACACAATGATATTGTAGTCCCTCCCCTTCCCAAGGCAGCCAGAGGAACCAGCATCCGCACCCCGCCAGTGATCGCACCCCCTTTCCCTGCGTGCCCCCATTGGCATCCTCCTGCCCTGCCCTCAGCCTAGTGGAGAGTATTTAAGCCATATCAGTGTGACCGGGGCAGCAAGGCTTTCCGCTAGCCAGCCAACCTGGCCATGCACCAGCGAATCCACACTGGTGAGCGCCTCTACAAGTGCCTGGAGTGCGACAAGACCTTCGTGGCCTCAAGGAGCAGCACCGCATGCACTCGGGCGAGCGGCCCTTCAACTGCGGCTGCTGCAGCAAGACCTTCGTGGTCTCCTCCAGGCTCCGCAAGCTTGAGCAGATGCACGGCTAGCAGCGGGGCAGGGAGGAGGAGGAATTAGGGGCCATGTCCCGGTATGGCTGCCGCCTCTGCGGGGCCGCCTCCAGTGACACTGTGGCGCCACCAATGGGGTAGCACCCAAAGGCAGGCCCTGGGGCACCCACCTGCACCGAGTGTGAGGAGGCTTCACCTTGACCTACAATCTGCGTACGCACAAGCGGCTCCACCCCGGCCTGTGCCCCTTCCCCTGCCCTGAGTGCAGCAAGGGCTTCTCCGACCGCGCCAACCTGCGCCCCACACCCCCTCTAGGCTGTGCGGCTCTGTGTGCTGCTGGGGCCCCTCCCCTCTCTAGGGGGGTGGTTCTCTGCACCACTGGGGCCCTCTGATTCCCCTCAGGCTCCTTGCTCCTTGCTCCTGCTGGAGGGAATTGGAGCAGTCTGTGAGAGCAATTCATTGATTCCCTGCTGTGCAGTGGTGTAGAGGTGCAGGGGGGGCTGGACGGGATTGTCGGGCTTCAGGTTTGGACTTAACAGTTAAGGGAAGCTCATGGTAACCACCGGCCTAAGTTTCTTTGTAAACCAGGCTCGGGCTGATGCTGTGAAAAGAATATGAAATAAACACTTCTTTTTGTAGCCTGGGGGCTTCTGTGATTCCCCCCTCCCAGAGACGGGAGAGAACCCAGGAGTCCTGGCTCCCAACCCTGCTACTCTATCCCACTAGACTCTATCCTACTCCCATCTCATAGCACGGGCCAGAAAGTAGGAGTCCTGTTCCCCGGGGCTGGACCTGGGGTGGCCTATTTCCCTGAAATGGGCAGACTCACACTCACCCGCCCCCCTCAGCTGCCTGCTTAAGCACCTCCCCTTCCTGAACCGCATGGGATGTGGCTGTATGATCCCATGCCACACCCCCTCGCAGACAAAGTGTGGCTGTGTGATACCCTCATCAGAGCATGATTCCCATGCCCTGGTGCTCCTCAACCTTTCTGGGGCTCTTCCCAGAGGCTCCTCCTCTCCTGGGTTCATGTTCCTAGACTTGAAGGGAGTGTCTCTCTCATCTCTGGTGTCCCTTCCATCCAACTCCAGTCCTGGGTGTGTGGGTCTGTTCTCCCAGGGACGGTGGGACTCTACTTCCATAGCCGCCCCCTCTCCCCAAGAGGGCACGGTGTTTGCTGCTCCTGGGCCCCTCCTCCAAGGGGTGTGACTCTGAATTCTACTGGACCCTCCCCAATTTATTTCCCATGTCTCTGTACTGCCCCCTGTGACTGGATCCCCAGGGTAGAAACTCAAATTGGTGCACCGTGGTGCCCGCTTAACTTGCCAACCTGGGTTATCTCTTACAATGCTTTGCCGGTGACAAGCAGCCAACCCCTCCAGGGGCTGAGTTCACTCTGCCAATAACAGGCAGGCAGAAACCCAGCTAAATTGCTTGAATGCTTCAATTATACACAGACAGACATCAGCAAATCACCCCAGCCTTGCACCCCAGAAATGTACCATTTTACTTGGCTCAAGACCTTCTCTTGAACAGTGCAAGCTCATTAATTAGTTTGCCACTTTGTCAAAGCAAAGTGGACATGCACCAGGCTTTGTAGCCTGAGCCGATTCCCCAAGCCCTCTCGGTAAACTCACTGGTAAGGATAAAACACTAAAGTTAGTTTATTAACTGCAGAAAGAGATTTTAGTTGATTACAAGTGATAAACACAGAGGTCAAAGTTGGTTACACAAGACATAAAATAGAATCGCAGTCTAAATTGCTTGAATTCAAGAACTTTTCTCACCCCACTGGGTGACAGTTGACAGTTCTCTATACACAGGCTGGATTCCCCTCTCAGCCTGGGACCAAGCTCCCCCGTTCAAAGTCTTTGTCTTCCCAACGATGTTGAGATGCGGGAGGAGAGAAGCCAAGTGGCAATGTCACTGGCATTCTGGATTCTTTCTGATTGGCCATCAACAGGGGTCTGGCCCATCCTGATGTAAACGTGTCTTGTTTCTTGCACCTTTGTTGTCACTGAAAGACTGGCTGTGAGCATTTCCCACTTACCACATATTTCAGAAGCAAACATATTTCAATACTTGATAACTTCACCTACAATGATAGCACTCACCATTCAACAGGTTATTAATGTTCAACAGATCAAGACTTCTTAAATGATACCGCACAAGGCATGTATTGTACAAAACATTTTGATCCAACACAGGGGTGGAACAATTGCTGACCACAGCTTCCTGCCCAATGGCTGTGGCTGTGGGTGCAAATGGGGGAAGGAGCTCAGCGCTGGGGGGAGCGTAATGACGGCTGAGACACTGAGAACACAGGAGACCTTGTGCGGTGCCTTGGTCAACTTCAAAGTGCGTCTCTCCCAGCAGAGACACAGCCCAGCCCGGGACGCTGACAGACCCCAGGGCCAAAATATTCCTCAGCCGAAATATACCTCCGCTCAGTTCCTGAGGCAGGTGAGTGATGGGTGGGTCTGCTCAAACCCCAGCTGATAGTGGGAAAGTCATTGCACACAGGCCCTGCACAGACTGCGACCGAGATCAGGGACCCCATCGCGCCGGGTGCTGCACAAACCCCGGCGGAGATTGAGGACCCCATCTCTGGGTGCTGCACAAACCCATCCCAACTGATATCGGGGGTCCCCTAATGCGGGGTACTGCATGGACCCACCCATTGAGATTGGGGGCCCTGTCACGCCGGGTGCTGCACAGACCTCAACCAAGATTATAGTCCCCAGTCCATCCTGCTCTAACCCACTTCACCCCATTCCCCTGCTACAGTGACAATAGAACCCAGGAGTCCTGACTCCCTGCCCCCCATCCGCTAACCCACTTTACCCCACTCCCCTGCCAGTACAATAGAACCCAGGAGTCCTGACTCCCTGCCCCTGACTCTCTAACCCACTTCACCCCACTCCCCTGCCAGTGTGACAATAGAACCCAGGAGTCCTGACTCCCTGCCCCCGACTCACTAACCCACTTCACCCCACTCCCCTGCCGGTCCGACAATAGAACCCAGGAGTCCTGACTCTCTGCCCCCCATCCTCTAACCCACTTCACCCCACTCCCCTGCCAGTGTGACAATAGAACCCAGGAGTCCTGACTCCCTGCCCCCGACTCACTAACCCACTTCACCCCACTCCCCTGCCGGTCCGACAATAGAACCCAGGAGTCCTGACTCTCTGCCCCCCATCCTCTAACCCACTTCACCCCACTCCCCTGCCAGTGCAACAATAGAACCCAGGAGTCCTGACTCCACACACCCCCATCCTCTAACCCACTTCACCCCACTCCCCTGCCAGTGTGACAATAGAACCCAGGAGTCCTGACTCCCTGCCCCCGACTCACTAACCCACTTCACCCCATTCCCCTGCCAGAGTGACAATAGAACCCAGGAGTCCTGACTCCCTGCCCCCCATCCTCTAACCCACTTCACCCCACTCCCCCGCCAGAGCGATAATAGAACCCGGAGTCCTGACTCGCAAACCAGTGCTCCAGCCACTAGACCACGTTGCCACTCAGCTTTTGATACTTAATTTACATAGTTGATACCTTTCATATCAGGGGCATCTTGACATTTCAGGCTGTTTAATTTTCTATTGGCAACAAAGCAGTGGGGCAGCAGGTGGGGATTGAGGAGCGCTGCCAGAGTGGGTCGGGGAGGAGGGAACCCTGAGGCTCGGCTTGCAGGGGCCCGGGGGCTGGGGGCTGGGGGCTGGGCAGAACCGAGCAGTCAATATTCAAATGCATTTTTCCTGCCTGGTTCTGCTGGGGTGAGGTCAAACATTTACTGTCCCCTCCCAGTCCGAGCCTCCTACTATCACAGGATGCACAGCTGTCACCCTTTGCTCTCCCACAGCCAGCATTGCTGTACAGCTCCAACCCAAGTTGAACACAATTGAAATCTACATTTAACACAGCATCCCTTGTGGTTAGTACGGGGAGGGACGCAGAGAGAAGGGGGAGGTGGTCAAAGCATCTGGGGCAGAAGGAAGAGGACAGGCTACCAAAGTAGATGGGCCCATGGTTCTGTTCTCGGGTGGCAGGGAGGGGGCAGGATATGGGTGGAGATGAGCCCAAGGGCCTTTTCCGGGCAGTAGGTTTCCTGCCGTCTTTCCCCAACAGCCGCAGTGTAACGGTGGCAGCGCCAGACACTGGGGCTGATGCTGACCATGAGAAACCCCAGAAAATGACCCTCCATCAGTGGTTAAAAATAACCAAATCCACCACTCAGTGTGGCCACAAGGGGGCCCCAGCAGTGTCTACGGCAAGCCCAGTCATGTCTAGCGTGGCCCAAGCTCCCTCTGCTCTCGCTGGCTATAAAAGCCACCACTTGCAAACCACAGGTTGTGTGGCTTTCCACTGCCCCCTAGTGGCCACACCCAGTCACTGAATTGGCTCACTAATTACAAGCCACGGACTCTGTCCACATAGCACCGCCCTCTAGTGGCCCCGTTCAGGAACTGCAATGACCCATTATTGCATGCTGTAGAGTGGCCATGTGAAACTATATCTCCTCCTCGTAGTTAGTGCCGATATTACAACATCTAGAAAACAAGGAGGGGAATGAATTGATGCAAATTGGATAATCTGTAGTCAAACATGCAAATGAGGCATCACGTCATTTGTGTAATGCCTCCAGGTTTCCTAGAGCCCAGAGTTTTCTTAGGTGTGCAATAAAACATGGCTGATGTCGTAGGTGATAGATGGATGGCTCTGCTTCTAGAATAGAGATAACCTATGGAACTGCCTGCCACTGCATTGTCACTAATTCTGAATCTCTCTGTGTCTCTCCTTATAGGGGCTTCAGAGGCCGAAGGCCCCTCCTGGGTGGGGGAACCCATGATATCAGTCATGTCCAGATTTGGTGCCTTCATCCCCCTCCTCCTCTTCCTCCTCTTCATCTTCCCTGGGGCCACCTCCAATTGTCACACAAGAATGGCAAATGAATGCAAGAAGCACACCGCATTCGTTCCCGGGCACAGCCTGATTGGTGAGGGCATTGATGTGACCACGATGGGTAGGAAGGGGGCCTATCTGGTTGACAGCAGCCTCTGGCAGCACGAGGACGGCACCTGCACCCTGTGCCGGAACCGACTTCAGGGAGGGCAGTGGCAGAGGCTGCCGCTGGCTACGGTGGACTGGCGGGTCCGCGTCTCGTGCCGCCGGAAGCTGAGCAGCTCGGTGCAGCAGTCGGCGATGGGCATGATGGAGTCGGCAGCGTCCGCGGTGCAGAACAACTGGAAGGTGGGGCTGGACGTGCCTGTGAAGCCCAAGGTTAATGTCCAGGTGGCGCTGGCCGGATCACATTCCAAACTGGCCAGTTTCATGGTAGACCACACGCGGATGGACAAATACAGCTTCATGAGCCACGAGGTGTCCTGTGGCTATTACAGGTGAGAGCCAGCCTGGGTCAGGAGGACTCACTTGAAATTGGGATTACAGCAACACCACACAGATATACAGGGCCTTTCCCTCTAGAAGGTGCTGGTTCTGATCCAGGCCAAGAACAAGGGGACTGGCAGGCTCGGGGGGAGGGAGGGTAGGGACATAGAGTCTTTCAAGTCTAGGGAACACCGGCTTCAATCTGGTCCCCGGGTGGGGGATTGGCTGGCTAGGAAGGGAGCAGGGAATGGAGTCCTTCCCCTCTAGAAGTTGCCGGCTCCCACCTGGAGCCGGACAGCTATGGGGGATGTTCTTGTCCCGTGTGTCAGGACAGCCCGGAGACCTGCCGTGGCCAGAGTGGGGGACGTCTGTCAGAACTATCAAGCAGCTGACAGTATCCCCAGAAGGTCGTGAGGTTCAGCAGACAGGGTGGCTGCTTTGAGTAGGAGCCACCTGCTTAGATCGGTGCTTGTGGGTTGTCTGGGGCCTTAGGACACAGAGCTAATGACCTCAGCTGACTCACCGGGCGGAACACACGCCTCACCTTGTGTCCCTGACCAGGTTCCGGGTCAGCGAGACGCCCCCGCTCACCAGCCATTTCACTCTGGCGCTGGAGAACCTCCCGGACCAGTACAACAGCAAATCGAAGGTGGAGTACCAACAGCTAATCAGCAACTACGGCACCCACTACATGTCCCAGCTGCAGCTGGGGGGCCGGGCGCGGGACGTGACGGCCGTGCGGGTCTGCGAAGCGGCAATGAGCAGCTTGACTGACGACGAGATCAAGGACTGCTTGAGCGTGGAGGCGGGCGTGAGTATTGGAATGGGCTCGGTCAAAGGTGGGTACAGCAAGTGCGAGGAGGAGAAGAAGAAGGGGAAGGTCCAGGGGAGCTTCCATGAGACGTATCAGGAGCGCCACGTGGAGGTGGAGGGAGGAGAGAGCACGACTGACGTGCTCTTCTCCGGCAGTGATGCCAAGGTCTTCTCGGCCTGGATTGAGAGCCTCAAAGCCAGCCCTGGCCTGGTGTCCTATTCTCTGCACCCCATCCACATCCTGGTGGAGCAGGATGACCTCAAGCGGGAGGCGCTGAGGCAGGCAGTCAGTGAGTACATCCATGAGAGGGCCCTGTGGAGGAATTGCACCCGAAGCTGCCCTCCGGGGACTCAACGCAGCGCCCACGACCCCTGCTCCTGCGTCTGCCCCGGGGATGCCATGACCAACACCATGTGCTGCTCGCGGGAGCGTGGCCTGGGGAAGCTGATGGTGACAGTGAAGAAGGCCACTGGCCTGTGGGGGGATTACTTTAGCGCTACAGATGCCTTTGTCAAGGTTTTATTTGAGAGAAGGGAGAGCCAGACCAACACCATCCGGGACAACAACAATCCCGTCTGGAATGTCCAGTTGGACTTCGGTACCGTCCACCTCACCAGCACCAGCAAGATCCATGTCCAGGTCTTGGACAAAGACCCGTTGACAGTTGAAAAGCTGGGAAGCTGCGACATCCCGCTGGAGGCTGGGGAACCTCACCAGAAGGATTGCTACCTTAAACATGGCCGCATCTGGTTCCAGTACAGCCTGCGCTGTGGGCCCCACCTCGGGGGTCGAAGCTGCTTGGACTATGTCTCCCAGCCACCCCAGCAGAGCGCAGCCAAGGGGAAAGAGGCGGAGACCTTTTGGTGAGCCCCTTAGATAGGGACTCACAAAGGGGCATGGGTGTGCATTGGTCACTAGCGCTCCCTGTCCCCAGAGCATTTCCTAGTTTCCGCTTTGCTGATGCTGCTGAGCTTCATGCTGTCACTCCTGCTCGGGAATCGGTGTCTCCTAAGCCACTAGAGACTGTCTGCTCCTGTGAGCCCATCATCCTCACAGCTCCCTCTGGGAAAACATCCCACCACAAACCGTCCATTCCAGATCCATCAGACCAGTGTGTCCCATGATTCCAGTCATGCAATGTATCCATCCAACCAATAAACCAAGGTATGTACCTACTGCATCCAACCTATCCGGCTCCCACATGCAGCCAACTGCCAGCCAACCAACCAACCAACCAACCAACCAACCAACCAACCAACCAACCAATTGTTGCATTTATTTTATCCAACATATTTAGCCAGCAAACCACCAGCCAATGAGTGTATCCAGTGCATCCAAACAACCAATACATTTTATCTAGCGCATCCAATGTAAAAAGCCAGCCAACCACCCAACCAACCAACGAATGTGTTCAGGCTGTCCAATGTAACCAGCCAACTAACAAATGTATCCAGCCAACCTTCCAACCAATTCAACCAATGTATCCAATTAATTCAATATATCCCTCCAGCCAACCAATCACTGTATCTAGTGCATCTGGTGGATCCAACCAACTAATGTCTTAGGTACATCAAACCAACACGTGTAGCCAGTGCAACCAACCAACCAATGAATGTCAAGTACATCCAGTCAACCCATATGTGCTGGCAGTGCAACTCATCCACCACCCCACGTATCCATCCACCCACTGTAATTATCTGTCTCATGTGTCCAGCTGAAAAGAGATCATGAGGAGGAAAGCTCCGCCCCTGTCCTATTGTGGCATCAGGGATTAACCCTCTGCAGAAACCCGAAGATACTCCAGCGATGGACACGGTTCTAAACACCCAGCAGATGGGCTGCGCCCTTGGAGGGAGGATTCATTACAGAGCGGTTCCCTTTCTGTTATTTCTCTTGCTTTCCACAATTCCTCAGGAGCTTTGGGGTTAATGAGCTCATCCTGAATGTCCAGGCCCCACCCACCATCCAGCTGGATGTTTCCTCCTCAGAAGATCAGCAGTGATGCTGATATATCATTTGCCATGGGTAGGAATCAGAGTTAAACCAAGGACGTCATGCCACAAGGCTGTTGATTCCCCCTGTCAGCAAGCTCAGGGAGAGGGCACTGCATTGTGGTCACATTGGGAAGGGTATATTCCCCTAATTTGGGGGTTAAAGCATCTTCCTGGTTCACCCCTCTCTGCATTGGTAGGATCCTAGATAAAAAGTGCCATTCTGCAGTTAACTGGTGAATGAGGGTTGTTAACTCTGAACCCTACTGACTTCAAGTTAAATATCTCCTGCCTGGAAAATTACCATGCAGCTTTGGAGCTCCTTGGCAAAATGATTTGCTTCTGATAGGATTCCAGATCTCTGAATTCTTGCAAGTGTATCTCCCTGCTTCAATAAACATTTATGAAAGCAAATTTCTCAGCAGAAAGCCTTGTCATTTTTCCAACCTCAGTGGGCTGGCACCAGATGTAGAGTAGAAATGAGTGGCTGCAATACACGCTTGGGAACACTAGGGGGAGCTCTGGACTGGAGGGTAGCGAGGCATGGCAAGACGGGGAGATAGCTGGACGAATTTACTGCAATGGGAATCCAGTGTAATGTGGCTAAATCCAGTTAAAGCAAATGGCTTCTGTCGGGGACAGTGGGGTGGGTGGGAAAGAGATACAGGGAGATGGGCAGTGTTTTTAGGGGAGCATTAATATCCCAACACTGATATTTGCAAGACACTGCTATTGCCAAGGGATCCATGGGGGGGATAGGAGGAATTTTACCTCTAATGGGATTCAGCTCTGAGATGGCCTTAGAGCACAGGGATTGGCTGGCTAAGGAGGCTGGGGAATGAGACATGGGGCCTTTCCCTTCTAGGATGAGCTGGTTCTGATCTGGCCACACAACATGGCTGGCTCCAGGGGCTGGGGAATTAGCGTAATAGCTCTCCTCTAATGGTGCAGCTCCGATTCCATCCAGCAGGTGGCAGCCTGGACTCGTGCAGCCCCCAACCACTTGATCCGCTAAAATGCATCTTACAGGACAGTTCTGACAGAGCATGTTAGCTGGGGAGTGGGGACTGAGCTCCTGACCTGCCCCTGGAATGACGGCTGGAATGCTGGTGCAGAAGCTGAGAGATGGGGCGGCTCCGGAGAGCTGATGGGAACGCTCTTGTGACACATGGTGGACTGGAGAGGATCTTTTCATAGCTTCCTCCCTTCCCACCACATACCCAGTGGCTTCAGAGCAAACCCCTGCAGAGTACATGGCCCTAGCTGGCATGGCCCATGTCCATCCTGCTGCCCCCTGGCCCTACCCCTTCCCCGTACCCCAGTGCCCTGGGGCTAGGACAGGCAGAGCATGAATCAGCTAGTTCCTGTAGCGCCCTAGGAAGGAGAGTGGGATGGGCACAAGTGGGAGCCCCATGGCAGGTGGTGGAGCCGAGATGAAGGTAGGGGGGAGATAAGGACATGGTGACGTTGATGAGACACAGGGGCCAACACAGGTGTCTCGTAGTGTTGATCTCCTCATAGAACCACAAGCCGGTGGTGGTGGTGGTGGTGGTGGTGGTGGTGTGTGTGTGTGTGTGTGTGCGCGCCCAATAATTCATCCTGGAGCCCAGATCAGAAAAAGGAGAGCCATGTGGCCCAGACCAGTACGGAGCTGGGACGTAGCCCATCCCAGAGCAGAACGCTCCTGCTGGGAAGCAGTCGGGTGGAATCATGGAGCAGAGGCCAGGAGAAAAGGTGGCCTGAAAGATGTGGCAGAACGGGGACAGGATTCCTGTATCCCCCTCCCCTAGAGTCATGGCCGCCCTGCCTAGCACATGTAACCCCTATGACTCAAGCTGGAGCATTGGCAGTGGTAGAGAGGCACATTTGAGTTTCTAGAGGCAGAAATAGCTGTTCTGACCACCAGCTTCCCCCGGCCCCTCGCACCAGCTGCACGGTGCTGGGGCAGGGAGAGGGCGCCTGCGACGTCAGTGATGAGGGAGTGGCCGGAGACCCCAGAGCTCCATGCCATGCCCGCTGCTGCTCCAGTCAGAGCTGTGCCTTCATTCAAGCCTGGGCCTTTCTCATCAGCCTTGCCAGCCCTGGGACAGTCACCCCCAACCAGTGAGTGAATGGTGGGTGGAGAATCTCTGGGCTCCCAGGCTCCTCCTGGAGTTGGGGATAGAACCCAGGAGTCCTGACTCCCAGAACCCCCCCCCCCCAAACCACTGGACCCCACTCCCTGCTCAGAGACAAGATGGAAACCAGGGGCCCTGGCTCCCAGTCCCCCCCCGCCCCCCTCCCCGATCTAACCCAAGACACACCAGACTGCTCCAAAACAGACCCATTTTCTGAACCATGCTCCCCAAAGCTGGAGACTTAACAGAAAGTAGCTTAAGAAGTGCTCCTCTCTCTAGCACCCAGACACCCAGCTCCCAATGGGATCCAAACCCTAAATATATTCGTTTTTCTCTGTATAAAGCTTATACAGGGTAAACTCATAAATTGTCTGCCCTCTATTACACTGATAGAGAGAGATGCACAGCTGTTTGCTCCCTCAGGTATTAATTAATTACTCTGGGTTAATTAATAAGATAAAGTGATTTTATTCAATATAAAAAGTAGGATTTAAGTGGTTCCAAGTAATAACAGACTGAACAAAGACAGAAATTACCAAGCAAAATGAAACAAAACATGCAAGTCTAAGCCTAATACATTAAGAAACTGCATACAGGTAAATCTCATCGTTAAAGATGTTTCAATAAGCTTCTTTCACAGACTGGACTCCTTCCTAATCTGGGTCCAGCAATCACTCACACCCCCATAGTAACTGTCCTTTGTTCCAGTTTCTTTCAGTCATTTCTTGGGGGTGGAGAAGCCATCTGTAAGCCAACTGAAGACCAAATGGAGAGGCTTCCAGGGCCTTTTATATTCTCTCTCTTGTGGATGGAAACCCCTTTGTTCTTCTTTGCAAAGTCACAGCAACAAGATGGAGTTTGTAGCCACCTGGGCAAGTCACACGTCTATGAATGATTCAGTTTTTTGCAGGCCAACACCATTGTTGACATGTTAGTTTGAATGTTCACAGGAAAGCCCAGATGTGGATTGGCGTCTCCTATAGTCCTTTGTCAGTTAAGTGTTTCTTGATTGGGCAGTTACTTAGAGTAATCCTTTCTCAAGAAGCTAACAAAATGCTTCATTGAGGTTACTTAGAATCAAACACATTGAGATACAAGTGCATAGCCAATATTCATAACTTCAAATATAAAAATGATACACACATACAGACAGCATAATCATAACCAGCAAACTACATCCTTTCCATGGACACCTCACATGACCTCCTCTATACAAGACCTGGTGCAACCATAGGACCCAGGTTGCAACAATGATCTATACGGTCACAGTTCATGTCAATAATGTCACAACCACCATTTATCTATTTATCCATCCCCATACACCCCACTCTACCTATCTATCTATCAATCTATCCATCCCCATACACCCCGCTCTATCTATCTATCTTTCTATATATCCCCATACACCCGCACAACCCCTCCCCAATTTATTCCCCATGCCTCTGATATTCCCTCTGTGGCTGGATCCCCAGCATAGAAACTCAAACTGGGGCACTGATTCCCCAAGCCCTCTCGGTAAACTCACTGGTAAGGATAAAACACTAAAGTTAGTTTATTAACTGCAGAAAGAGATTTTAGTTGATTACAAGTGACAAACACAGAGGTCAAAGTTGGTTACACAAGACATAAAATAGAATCGCAGTCTAAATTGCGTAGCCTGTTAAACTTAGAAGATTTGAATTCAAGAAGTTTTCTCACCCCACTGGGTGTTCCAGGCAGTTGACAGTTCTCTATACACAGGCTGGATTCCCCTCTCAGCCTGGGACCAAGCTCCCCCTTTCAAAGTCTTTGTCTTCCCAACGATGTTGAGATGGGGGAGGAGAAAGGCCAAGTGGTGATGTCACTGGGATTCTGGATTCTTCTTGATTGGCCATCAGCAGGGGCCTGGCCCATCCTCATATAAATGTGTCTTGTTTCTTGCACCTTTGTTGTCACTGAAAGACTGGCTATGGGCATTTCCCACTTGCCACATATTTCAGAAGCAAACATATTTCAATACTTGATAACTTCACCTACAATGATAGCACTCACCATTCAACAGGTTATTAATGTTCAACAGATCAAGACTTCTCAAATGATACCTCACAAGGCATGTATTGTACAAAACATTTCATTGTCATATCAGAGTGTTGAATATCGGGGTTCCCGGGTGTTATTTTGAGGTACAGTGTCACACCCCCACCCGCAGTTTATCTCTCCATGAGGGAGTAGGAGACAGAAAAGGAGGGGGCAGCCTGAGCTGAAGTGAGGGGGACCTGTGGCAGGGAGTGGGGGTGACTCCTGGAAAGATATTGGGGATGCAGGGTGATAGGGGTCCTACCAGCAGTGGGGTGAAGGAGTGAGCAGAATCCCCTGATGGGTGGAGCATGGGGGCTGGGGTTGGAGTCTCAGGGCATGAAATCGTGGATAGAACAAAACACAGGAGAAAGAAGGAAACATCAAACCTGTTCTACAGCAGCATAGGGTCTTCGTTCCCCCCACCACCACCCACTGGCCAATTTCCCCTCCCCCGCCACAGCCTGCTCTACAGGGCCAGGGCATTGGGCTTCCCCTGGATTTACCCAAGGATCAGAATCCTGGCCTGATTCCCCTGGGGTTTGTGGGGTTGTTCTGGATTTACAGTGGGGTCCTTGAGACGCTAGGTGCTGGCCCCAGTGTGGCACTAGGGGGCGCTGTACTGCAGGGTAGGGGGCTCGGCAGGGGGCGCTCTCCCCGGGCAGGCAGTGCTGGCCCCAATGCCCCAGTGTGGCACTAGGGGGCGCTGTGCTGCAGAGAGCAGGGCTCAGTAGGGGGCGCTCTCCCCGGGCAGGCAGTGCTAGCCCCAATGCCCCAGTGTGGCACTAGGGGGCGCTGTGCTGCAGAGAGCAGGGCTCAGTAGGGGGCGCTCTCCCCGGACAGGCAGTACTAGCCCCAATGCCCCAGTGTGGCACTAGGGGGCACTATGCTGCAGAGAGCAGGGCTCTGTAGGGGGCGCTCTCCCCAGGCAGGCAGTGCTGGCCCCAATGCCCCAGTGGGGCACTATGGGTTTCTCTGTTGCAGGGCAGGGGCTCAATGGGGGACACTCTCACCAAAAGGCAGTGCTGACCCCAGTGCCCCAGTGTGGCTCTAGGGGGTGCTGCGCTGCAGGGCCGAGGGTTCGGGGGGGGGTGTGCTCTCCCCGGGTAGGCAAAGGCCCCAATGACTCGGTGCAGAGTTTGACTCACTGTGGTTTCCTTTTCAGACTCTCTAGCTCGTAATACCCTGGGTCGAGACCCATGGGAGCTGTGTTTCATCCACCACAGGGGTGGA